TCTAGTGGCACTTTGATAAACCCGTATTTTCGATACGAGTTTCACCCTCTTAATAGTACTGACTACTCGATCCTAAATGTGATCACACTCTCTAAGTGTCTCGATCACTAAACCAAAAGCTCCTATCAATTTCACCTTTGCCTTGAGCTTTTTGTTTTTCTTTCTTCTTTTCCAAGTCCAAGCATATGATCATCATCATGCCATCACCATCACCATCATATCATGATCTTCATTTGCTTCACCACTTGGAATGTGCCACCTATCTCATAATCACTTTGATAAACTAGGTTAACACTTAAGGTTTTATCAATTTACCAAAACCAAACTAGAGCTTTCAGCGGCCCCCTGCCACGTCCACTTGTCTTCTATGCACGCCTTTTGTCCATTTTTGTGATTTTTCCTGCATACAAATATTTTTTCCATGTACAAGTGAAACTAGGTGAATTATAAACATAATATGGCACATGTATTAACTCTGCCTATGGTGGGGCGCCTTTGGTGTCCCAGCATAGCAGGTCCTAAGCCCTGGTAAAGGAGGAGGGTTGTGTTCGGCGTGGCGAGCCAATGTAAAAAACTTAGCTACTTTAATGGAGATGAAACCGAAAAAGAAAATCGTTGAGGCGTAACCCTCTTAGCGACGCGCCATATCGGAACCCGGGTATGGTGTTAAATGGGCAAGGGTGGGTCGTCACCCCGTGACGTCTTGAGTGTCGTGATCCCGGGCATGGTGTCAAGTGAGCAAGGATCGGGTCGTCGCTTCCTTAGTGGCGCGCTACATCGGCGCCCGGGTGTAGTGAAAAATGAGCAAGGGTCTTCACATCTGAGTCGACGGGTGCGAAGGGTAAGGAAGCTAGTCAAACCAACTAGGATCCATCTAGGTAGTTGGAATGTAGGGTCACTTACAGGTAAGTTAAGAGAATTAGTTGATACCGCGACTAGGGGAGGCGTGTGAATATATTATGCGTTCAAGAGACTAAATGGAAGGGTCAAGGCTAAGGAGGTGGACAATCTGAGGTTTCAAGCTTTGGTACCATGTGAGACGATGTGAATAGAAATAGAGTAGGAGTTTTGATTGATAAGAGCCTTAAGAATGGTGTGGTGGGAGTGAGAAGACAAGGAGATAGGATTATCTTAGTCAAGCTTGTCGTTGGTGATTTGGTCTTGAATGTAATTAGTGCGTATGCCCCCAAGTAGGCCTCGACGAGAGTGCTAAGAGATAGTTTGGGAAAACTTAGATGGCTTGGTTAGAGCTATACCTAGTAGTGAGAAGCTTTTATAGGAGAAGATCTTAATGGGCATGTAGGTACTGGCGTTTAGGTTTTGAGGCGTTCATGGAGGTTTTGGATATGGTAGTAGGAATAAGGAGGGAGGAAGTTTTGATCAGCGGTAGCTTTTGACTTGATGATAGCCAACACTTTCTTTAGAAAGAGAGAATCTCATCTAGTGACCTTCAGCAGCGGACAACACTTTAGCCAGATTGACTTTGTCCTCACGAGAAGAAAGGACAAACATGCATGCTTAGATTGCAAGGTGATACCGAGAGTGTGTTGTTTCTCAACATAAGCTTTTTTGGTGGCAGACTTTGCCAAGTGCGCATCTTGTAGGGATAAACAAGCTAAGATTAAAAAGAACAAAGTGGTGGAAACTAAAAGGGGAGATGTTAGAGGTATTCAAGGAAAGGGTTATCAAAGAGGGCTCTTGGAAGGAAGAAGAGGACATAAACAACATGTGGGAGAAGATGGCAACCAACATTCGGAAGGTGGCCTCAGAAGTGTATGGAGTAACCAAAGGAAGTGGAGGCGAGGCTAAAGATACTTGGTGGTGGGAACGAGGAAGTCCAAAGGGCTATTAAGGAGAAGAAAGAATGCTATAGACGCGCTTGTACCATGACAGAGTGTGGACAACATAGAGAAGTACAAGGTGGCAATGAAGACTGCAAAGCGAGCTGTAAGTGTGGCAAAGGATAGAGCGTACAAGGATCTTTACCAACATTTGAGTACGAAGGAAGGAGAGAAGGACATTTATAGGATGGCTAGGGTTCGTGAGAGAAAGACAAGGGACTTTAACCAAGTTAAGTGCATTAAGGATGAAAGGGAGCATCTCTTGGTGAAGGACGATGAGATCCGACATCGATGGCAAGAGTATTTTGACAAATTGTTTAATGGTGAGAATATTGACACAACCTTTCAGTTGGATGACTCTTTTGATGACACCAATAGGCGTTTTGTGTGGAGAATCCAAGAATCTGAGGTCAGAGAGGCGTTGAAAAGGATGAAAGGAGGTAAGGCGATAGGACCGGATGGTATCCCAATCGAGGTGTGGAGATGCCTCAGGGACATAGCTATAGTATGGCTAACCAAGCTGTTCAACCATATTTTTCGATCGAACAAGATGCCTGATGAGTGGAGGAGAAGTATATTGGTACCGATCTACAAGAATAAAGGGGATATTCAATGTTGTACTAATTACCAGGGCATTAAGTTGATGAGCCATACTATGAAGCTATGGGAGAGAGTTATCGAGCATCGCTTGAGAGCAATAACGCGGGTCTCTATGAACCAATTTGGTTTCATGCCCAGAAGGTCAACCATGGAAGCCATTTTCTTAATAAGACAAGTTATGGAGTGGTATAGGGAGAAGAAGAAGGACATACACATGGTTTTTATTGACTTGGAGAAGGCTTATGATAAAATACCAAGGAATGTTATGTGGTGGACTTTGGACAAACATAAAGTCCCAACGAAGTACGTCGGGTTCATTAAGGACATGTACAACAATGTTGTGACTAGAGTTCGAACAAGTGATGGAGACACGGATGACTTCCCGATTAGGATAGGACTACATCAAGGATCAGCTTTGAGCCCTTATTTGTTTGTCTTAGTGATGGATGAGGTCACAAGGGACATACAAGGGGACATCCATTGGTGTATGCTTTTCGCGGACGATGTAGTGCTAGTTGATGAAAGCCGGACAGGAGTGAATCAGAAACTGGAGTTATGGCGGGAGACTTTGGAGTCTAAAGGTTTTAAACTCAGTAGAACTAAAACTGAGTATATGAGATGTGACTTCGGCACTACTACTTGGGAGGAGGAAGATATTAGTTTGGAAGGTCAAGTAGTGCCTAGGAAGGATACCTTTCGATATTTAGGATCAATGCTACCGAGAGATGGGGATATTGATGAAGATGTTAGCCATAGAATCAAAGCAGGGTGGATGAAGTGGCGACAAGCATCTGGTGTCCTATGTGATAAAAGGGTACCACAAAAGCTAAAAGGCAAGTTTTATAGGACGATGATTAGACCTGCTATGTTGTATGGTGCAGAATGTTGGCCCACGAAAAGACGATATATTCAACAGCTAAGTGTCACGGAAATGCGTATGTTGCGTTGGATTTGCGGTCATACAAGAAGAGATCGAGTTCGAAATAATGATATACGTGATAGATTAGGAGTAGCACCAATTGAAGAAAAGCTTGTCCAACACCGGTTGAGATGGTTTGGACATGTGCAACGGATACCTCTAGAGGCACCGGTGCGTAGTGGAATCTTAAGCCAGGATAGTAACGCGAAGAGAGGCAGAGGAAGACCGAAGTTGACTTGGGTGGAGGCAATAAAAGGAGACTTGAAAGGATGGAATATACCCAAAGACTTAGCCTTAGATAGGAGTGCTTGGAAGACAGCTATTCACATGCCTGAACCTTGATTGCTTCTGCTGGGTTTCAACTCTAGCCTACCCCAACTTGTTTGGGATTTAAAGGCTTTGTTGTTGTTGTTGTTGTTATAATATGGCACATGTGATGTTGTTTTACCTTGGTTTTGGGTGGAATGTTGATGGTCAAAATAGGTGTTAGTGACCATCAACACAGGCTAATCCTATTTTGGTTCGGAGTTAGGGCTAATCATCTTGTGATTTTATATTTTGGAATTGCAGTTCTCCAATAGAATTTTAGTTAGGAGGTAGGGCTAATCTTTGTCACTGTTCCTCATTATAAATCCAAATACTATTGTCATGCCAGTGAAACTGACGTTGAACTTTTTGTCTACCAGGGCTTGAGTGTACAGAAGGTCTAAGGTCTATGGTCTCCACATATTTATCAACATTACTAGATAACCTAGGGTTCTTGTAACTTCTATGAGAGATTGATGCTTCTGCCAGTTCAAACTCTATTTTGTCTTCATCAAGATTGAAAGACTGAAAGGATGATGCTTATGGATCAATACTCTATTTTGTTTGCTACTTGTCCGCTACTTCTCCCTCATTTCAGTCCCTCGATTTTCATGCATGTTTGTAGATAAATGTTTACTGTCAAGTTGCTATCAAACAAGTTGTTAATGTCTACTGTCAATTTGCTGTCAAACAAGTGACCTTGATTTGCTATCAAACGAGTGTTTACGTCAAGTTGCTAAAGTTTTCATTCCTGACGGAAACGAACGGGCCTCGATGTTGTAGTTTTGCGGCCTGATCGGCTGGGGCTGGCTAGCTGGCTGGGCTGGCCAGCCCCCTCACAAAAACATTGTTTATCTGAATCAGCCAGCAGTACTTCTCTCTCACGTAAATGAACCAGCAACGATATGAACTAGCCAACCAAACAGGTTGTTGATTCCTGGGCCGGATCCATTGGCGACCAGGTTTCAGTGAACCACCAGGATTCACTCTGTCCGGCCCAGGAACAGAAACGGGCCTGTTTTCATCCTTGCATAAACGAACGAGGCCTTAATCAGCTGGAACAGTTCCTAGTGCAATCCTCTCCAGCCAAGAACGAGCCCTGAAGCGGCAAGGCGAACGACCCCACGCCCTCCACGTCAACGAAAACAGCAGCGGTCGACGTGGCGAGGCAGTCACGGAGAGAGAGGAAATATCTTCTCCACCCTCTGTGTTCGCGGCTGCCGGCGAGGGTGAGTCACCAGACCGGGACGATGGCGTGCTGCCGGGCCCTCGCTCCAGCTCCTTCCCGCGTCCGCTCACTCCCGCGCCCGGATTAGCTTCCACCGTCGCATCCGATGCTGCGCCGCCGCGGGCGACCAGGTGGAGGCGCCGCAGGACGCTGTGCTCAAGGCCATTTCTCGTGAGGAACCTTCCTTCCTCCTTTTTTTTCCTTCTTCCTTTTTGTGGACAATAGATGGATTATCCGCAGTACTCTCCCTCATGCTTCGTAGTCTCAACGCCGTTTGGCCCCAAATCGGGATGGAAAGCTCAGTTTAGCACCAGTTTCCTCTACCTTGAGATGGAAATTCTTGACAGTTGCCGGAGGATCAGTTGAATGTTCAGGTGTTGATTAGATGGGATTGGAATTAGGAGTGGCCGACGTGCATTGTCGTTTCTAGCTTAACTGCATATCAGTGGCGACAGTCGTCACTGGGAGTTTGGTGCTGTCGTACTAGATTACCATACGTTTTGTGATGTTTTCTCATTTATGATCTACTCATTCTACTGAGTGTTGCCTTTTTGGAGTAGTTAATTCGTTTGTGCAGTCTACCAAATCCACTGATTTTGCTTTGTCACTACTTTTGGTGCTGGTGCCTATGACTGAGTTGTTATAATTTTGTACCTGGAAAATAGCGTTTCGTGACAAATCGGTAACTCTTAATGCCTTTGAACTATTGGAAACTGGTTGCCCTATCTCTAAAGTCTTATTTGTTCAATTACACCCACTGAATTATTACAAAAGTTTAATAAATGTTAAGTTTGATGATTTTGACCTTCAGTTTAATAAATATGCTTCGAGTGGTTTAACCCCTTCTTAGAACAACTTTTTACTATTCAAATTCGTTCATAGGTGATTTTGCAATATATCCTATGTGGCCCTGTATACAAGTATCCATATAGTTTTGAGCTAATAATATTGCACATTAGTTGATCTTGCACCTAACCCCTTCCTATGAAGCAAACACAATACCATTTTTTAACAAGTCGCAAAAAAAACATTTTTATCGATTCCTCTGTTTTACTTTCTTGTAGGATTCGACTGCCATTTCTGTATGATTTTTGTGCTTTCCGTACTTCTGTAGTTCTGAATGCACAAATCCATATGGACCTTGGTTATGAACCACTATATTACAGATAGATCCTGCTTCCTAAATGTAGAAGAACATGTCATGTTTCTGTTAAGCAGTATTAGTTACGAATGTTTAACATAGTGACATGCTATGCGCCTTTCCCCGCTTACTATTGTGTTGTTACATGCTTTTAGGCTTATTGCATATTTTATCCAAAGCATAAATTTATATACTCCTTCCAGAGGTTATAAAATAGTTTAACTTTTTAATAACCTGCAACTCTTATTCATTTCCAAAAACAGAAGTAGCAAGTTCTAAAGGAAGAATTGCACAAACAACAAATGTTATCATGGGTGGTACTGTGACAGATGACACAACAGATGAATGGCTTGTTCTTGATAAAAAGGTGCTCTCTCTTCTAGGTTGGATTATTTCTTCAACTTCTTTGTGTTTTTTCTTTGGAAGTAGGCATATGAACTTTCTACATCTGAACAGGAGCCGTTAGTAGGCAATTTTGGAACAAAGCCATTTTGCTTGAATTCTGTTTCATGTCAGTGGTCCCTCTGGAGGAATGGTTTTGTAATTATCGTTTTGTCTCTGTTTTCTCTTTCATTTGTCTAATAAAATCTGTGGCAAAGCTCTTGCCGTCCTTTCAAAAGAAAGCTAACATTTCTTCATCAACTCCTAGTTCTATGCTACACTGCCCTTTTGGTAGGCAGATTACACTAATTGTATGTCATATCCTAGAACTGTAAACCGCTGTTTCTGTATGCTACTTTCTCACTTTATTTACTCACACTGTGTTAAGGCTTAAGGCCTTAGCATCATCAGTAATTTGCCAAATAGCAGAAGTTGTTTCAGAGTTGAGATACTAACTTATCATGGCATGGCATAAGATAATGTGGAATAATGCTTCCTGACCACACCTTCTGTAGCTTATTTCATGATTTGGTATGAAATGTGGATTCTGACCCATGATCCATTTTTCTACTGCTTTTTTTTAACTGCTTCTGAAACCAATTATAAGAAAAGAACAGGGTTCTTGGATTTCACTTGTTGCGTCATTGTAAAACACTTGCTGCCTCTGTTTTGCAGGTAAATACTTATCCTACAGTTAGAGGGTTTACAGCAATTGGTACAGGAGGTGATGATTTTGTCCAGTCAATGGTTGTTGCTGTTGAATCAGTTATTGAAGAACGTATTCCTGAGGTTGGTCTTTTCTCTGTCTTTGCTATTACATTTGTAAAATTGCAGCCATTGATGATTCTGTTTCATTTACTTGGGTTCGAGGTTCTTATTGTTTTCGCTCATATAATTATTTTGAAAGTAATAACTTACACTAGCACATGTGAGAACTGTCAATAACACTGTCAAAACATTTGGTTTGGTTTGAGTAAGCTCCCAGGTCCATAGTTTCTTATGCATTTCAATGCTGCAGAGTCCCTCTGTCCATTTGTAACTATCTTGTTTCTTATGAACTGTTGGCTTTATTTGCGTAGGGTCAAATATCCCAGAAAGTGTCTGCAAAGGGGAAATATGTGTCTGTCAAAATTGGACCTATCCGTGTGGTTTCCAAGGAGCAGGTAATCCTGTCATTATAATAGTGATGAATATAAAACACAAGCTCGCAGACTGAGCCAAGACTTATGGATCAAAGTTGTTATTGCATCTCTGACCTTTTTATTTATGTGATGATGTTCAACACAAATTTGTTTCCAGGTCCAAGCGGTGTACAATGCCATGAAGAAAGATGAGCGAATGAAATTCTTTTTGTGAATGACATGGCAAATAGGTATTGTTTGCTCTACACAAATTGTAACGCTGGTATCGTGCCACAATTGGTGACATGTTTTTTTTAGGGAAGTTGGTGACATGTTGTTAGTACAGGAGAAGGCATTGTGTTGATTATACTCGTTTGGTTGCATTGCTTGATAGTGGGCCGCCGATGACCTATTGCACAGGTTGGAGTGTTGTATGTCAGAACAGTTGAATCACGATGCTACTCTTGCAGTCCAACATTAAAGCAGACCTTGCTTGCATCAATCTCTTTGCAGTACAGGTACAGGCAAAGTAATTTGGGAAGGACCAGTATGGCATTCCACTTCCTGCCTGCCAAGGAGGAGACTTGTGATTAGATCCATATAAGCTGAAGTTACTTCCATCCATGCAGTAGCTCGAAATTCAGAAAGAAGAAGCTGTCTACTTACTGGGGACTGGGGAGCACAATATGCACTTGCTATACTGGCAGTTGGATTCGCGTCAGAAAGCGAACTGTGCCCGTTGAGTTGGGGTAGATGGACGATGGATCCTAAGTTTCATCCTTCGGCTTATCGGACATTTTAAATCGACTTGTTGCACTCGGTGTTCTGTGAGTCTAGAGAACATTTTTTTTAAGAAATCAGATTCATTTAGGCCTTTATTGGATATAGTCGGATTCAATTCAATTCATGTGTGTGTTGGGGTGAATTGAGGTGGTCCACCCTAATCCATCCCAACACGTGGATTGAGGTGAATCTCACAATATACAAACAAAACCTTATTTGGAGTGCATGTAACCCTAGTGATCTGGAATTCCGGACGGAAGGCTAGCGTCCAGATGCCCGCGCTGCACGCATGCTTCACATGGGTCCCGCGCCGCTCCATGTCCCACGCCCGCTTCAGTCTCGATCTGTAAACGCACGGTTTTCCGCGACTACCGCTCGTGCCCTCTTCATACACCCACGCGTATGCAGGCAGGTCCAGCAGCTAATGGGTTCCACTGCAAGATGTGCAACACCGGGTCTACTTTTGCAACATCTAGGGGAAACACTTGCAACATACGTCTGAAACAGTTGAAACACTTGCAACATACATCTGAAACACAAGAAAAACACGTGTGTAGCCATTGCAAAACATATGTAACATATGTGTGAAAACATATGCAACATCCGGATGAAACACTTGCAACATAAGTGTGAAACATATGCAACACCAAGATAAAACACGTGCAATATCCGTCTGAATCAGCTGAAATATTTGGAACAGGTCTGAAATGGCTGAAACATTTGGAACAACATAGGTGTATAGCCATTGCAACATATGCAACATCTCGTTCTACTTTTGCAACATCCACATGAAACACTAGTAACATGCATATGAAATACGTGAAACACTTGAAACATATGCTTGCAACATGTGCTTGCAACATCCGAGGAAGGAAGGGACCACGAGGTGTAGCCGGAGAAGCCCGCTCTAGGTCTGGCCACTCTGAATCTCGTGGTGTTGCAAGCTGAGCTCGAGTGTCACGGCGGCAACAGCGGGCACGACCTCCTGGTGGGGAACGGCAGCGTCGGCAGCACCTCGACGTGGCGAGGGACGGGGCATGACGTGTAGGGGCGGGGACCGGGCACGATGCAACAAGGTTGAGTGGGCGCGGTGAGGGATGGAGCATGGCGCGGCTCGATGCAGGATGGGGGTGCTGCCGCGGGGCGGCTTGGGGCGGGCGGATGGCGCGGTGAGCCACAAATAGCGAAGCGAGGAGTTGGGGATTTCTGTCGGCTGTCACAGTGTAGGTGGAGTAGATTGAGGAGAGAGCGTAGATGGGCCTGTTGGGCCGGTCGCTGTGCTAGAGCGGGCGTGGAGCAGACCGTCCGATTTTTTTTAAGATTCTAGACATATGTTCATTTGGGGTGAGATAGCAGGCGGGAAGGAAATGGGAAGACCGCGGGGTTCATGCTCGTTGGTCGTTAAAAATGTTTACAACCTCCTGCTGGCGTTCATATATACTCACAACGGCTCAGGTTACTGGGCCGAGCCCATTACACGGTGCATAGCCAACTCACGCCTTCAGGGCCTTTCTACTGAACCAGACCATTTGCTCAAAAAAAAAAAAAATACTGAAGCAGACCAAAGTTGTACTCCTACCTGCACACGCGTATGACTTCTCATATATCTGCCTGTCTGTAACTGTAACAGTCATTTGGAAATGTTATCTACATTTTCAGTCTCTCTGAGCAACCATTGGCAGCTTTGCCTGATGCGCAGGAGGACACGAGAAGGGAGGTCGTGTACGTTGCCGTCCAAGAGCGAAGCGAATCTGATATTCTCGGATGATGCATGCACATAGTTGTCGACGAAAGAAGAGTATGTGCCGAAAGTGAGAAATTTAAAAAAGAGGCAGATTCCGAAGAACGTAGCGATTGGTTGTGTTGTGTTGCGCTGAGGCCGAGCACTTTTTGGAAAAATTCTGCATCCAACCAAGAGGCTCCAGGAGCGCGATCCTTCACCAGACTCGGACAAAGTCGCCCAAGGGAGGGGCAGGCAGGATAAGGAGGCTGCAGGAGCAATCTGGTCTCAAAAGCTGGAGCAGTCCCATGTGGAAATGAGTGGCTCCAATGCTATTTATGTGCGTCAGAGCTTGGTTCCAAACGGAGATGGTTAAATTATCTTGACGCGGCTGGTAATGACATATGTAAAAGTTGCATTCACAGGCCAGGGGTCCATGGACATTTAGGTTGGCCATTACTCTCTACACTCTCCTTATTGATGTGTTACAAACCGTAAGGTGTTTTAGGTTTGTATACTAAATCAAATGTCTTTCAGATTCGACTAAATTTATAGAAAAACATAGCAACACGACTATAAAATATATTTAATGATGGGTTGAATTAAACTAATTTGATATTGTAGATACTGATATGTTTCTTTCATGAACGTAGTTAAATTTACTGAAATTTGACTTAGCACGAAACCAAATAAAATGCATGTTTTCCTGATGGATATGCTTGTGAGTTTGTCACCGGGGCTCTTACTAGCACGAAAGCTTGGAGCTTCGTTGACCAATGCAATCCTAGCTAGCTATCCTCTAGGGCTTGGAAACTTCCCTAAAAAGTAAAAAGGGTCAATGTAAAAGAAATCGATATAATACTACCATCATCAATTTTTTTTCTAAGGACCCATCATCATCGAAGTTAAATGGTGCACACACAAAAAAGGGACCTTCGGCTTGTGCTAACGTGCAGGCCGGAGCCGTAGTAGGCACGGCGACATGCCAGTAATAATTAATTAGAACATGGTTGGTTAAAGTGAGTATAAACAATAGTAAAAAACCAAAATGGTCCCCATCAAGATTATTATGTCGGTAGGATAAAGATGAACTTCATGCCTCCAGTAATTTACACAATTGCAAGGTCAAAAATTTTAAATGGTGGTCGAGGCAGGTGCTTCTTTGCACTTGATATATTAGCCCCGTTCGCTTCACTGAAAAAACAAACTAAAACACTGTTCTATCTGATTTGTTGTGAGAGAAAAATACTGTTCCAGCTGAAAAGACAAGCTGAAAAGTATGCATTATAAGATAAACGAACAGGGCCAACCTTTTCCTAGTTCCAAGAAATATACTACTAGATGTTTGGTTTGAGGAATAAATTAGTTCATCGTCTTCTCACTTCTCACTTCATCATCTCATTCTTTACAAACTAATTATAATCAATCACTACATTTTTGACAAGCTAATAATCAATACCAATACGGGGAATTGAATCATCCACCAAAATTTAAGAAATAGATTCATGGTGCGTCACCTCATCTAGAATAGAGTGAATTTTTAAATCAAACACCCTATAGAATTTGCATCCCCAGAAACTTACTTTTATTATTCCTAGTAGTCCCTAGAAATAAATATCAGGGAAACACGAGTTGCAGCAGCAGACATTCAATAAGGGCTGTTTGGATGATAGTTTTTCGGCTGATAAGTCGGTTGATGCTATTTTGTTGTGAGAAAAAAATACTATATCAGGGTTGAAATCTCGCTAGTCTCGTTGGTAGGCAAGGACAACACGAAAGCCAACAGGAACGCAAATCTGAAACTGCGTGGACACTGGACACTCTTCGTTGAATGCCTATGGACCCAATCACAGAAAAAGAAAAGAAAAAAAAAGCAAGGAGGGAGACAAAGAAAGAAATAAAAAAGGAAAGAAAAAAAAACATGTACGGAGCACTGGAGGTTCATGGAGGTCATTGAAAAAAAAAAGGTGGCGCTTCTGGATCAAGTGTGTCAACGGCAAAAGGTCTCCGAGGGTTGCCACACTTCGACAGTACTGTAGAAGGAATTCTACCGAATAACCTTTTCACAACATTGAAGAAGAGGCACAAGCAAGCTTATATCTTTTTGTCGGGTTACTAATCCATTTTGTAAATAAGGACCGGTTAAACTACTTGTTATCCACTTAATGAAATGTAGCAACTCCCCTGCTATCTCTAAAACAAGTTCAACAATCGGATTTGAACATATATTTGTTAGTATTAAGCAATATGCACCGGTAGGTTTCATCTTAAAGTGTAAGGCCCTGTTTGTTCTCACATAAGGGCCAGTTTGGATGCCAATTTTTTTGGCAAAACGCTACTGTAGCATTTCGTTGTTATTTGACAATTAGTGTCCAATCATAGTCTAATTAGGCTTAAAAGATTCGTCTCGTGGATTTCGTCTAGACTGTGTAATTAGTTTTATTTTTTATTTATATTTAATGCTTCATGCATGCGTCTAAAGATTCGATGTGACGGGGAATCTTGAAAACTTTGGTATTTAGGGTGCAACTAAACAGGGCCTAAGCCAAAAGTCCAAAGACTCGCTATAGTGAACTTCCGGCTTTTAGTTTCCGAGGACTTTTTGGCTTTTGAAAGGTCCAAAAGCTCCTAGAAAGTCCAAACAAACAGACCCTAAACTAATAAAAAAATGACAGTTCACTTATACTTGAACAATTCATAACATGTAGAGAAAAGACGATAAAATTATGTTT